TATGCTTGACTTATTTTGAATTCTTTTTGGGAAAAACAACAACAACAGAGTGAATAAACTTTACAAAATACATGCAAATGAGGGAATGTTTCATTATTTTTATATATGCTGCTACACAAATTCTTCACGGTCCGCACTTCGTGGTGCTTTTCCACGATTTCCACCTACACATATACGTGCCTAATGGGCGTGAGAGTGGCGGGGGAAATTGAAAACATCCCCATGTATTGGAATGAATTCCCGCGCAAAACCGTTTCTGCAATTAAATGTCCCGAAAAGGGTTCAATACATTTCCCATCGATTTCTCTACAGCGGCTTTCAAAGTTGTTTGTTGCATTCTAAAGCCAAATACATCATCATAGTGATGGCAATTGACACCCCAACCCCACATTGGGCACCGCTGGAAAACCACCCTCTGACTGGCAGCGAAATGCCATACATTTGGCAATATTCCCAGCAGTTTTAACTATTCAATAAATCTTTACTGCAAATCGATTGGAATTTTGAAGCGTCATTTGAGTATTAAGTCGTATTAGTTGGTGTTTTTTTTTTATCAATCAGCCTCCCATTCATATTTCAAATGGGTTTTCTCTCTTGGCCAGCCCAAAAACACATTTGTTTATGAGTTAATAAAAAAAATTCAGAGAGAGAATTTGCGGCAGAGTTTCAGTCCAAGAGACATAAAAGCCTCAAATGGCTCATGTAAAACATTCCCTCTGTGGCATGGCGGAAATATTTAGTGATAAATGAAATTATTCCCTCTGTGGACGTCGTTAACAATTTTCAATAGTTTTGTGGGATTTCTGCACAAGTACCAACCATGGTGAACATTTCGCCCAAGTTTGTGTAACTCTGCAGAGAAGAGGGCGCAATAATATTTCATTTCACCACTCTTAGATGTAGTATTATAATTTGGAGTTTCATCCCGAAAAGGGGTTGAAATACAGTCAGCAGAATATTTACAATTACCCTCTTGAGAGTCTAATGAAGTGCCGTGAAATTGGGTCTTGTCTTGCGAATAAGGAAAGGAGTTTCGCAAAGTTGCGCTGCGGCGTTTTCTTGTCTAGGCAAACTTCGAAGTAATTCATACAAAAAAAAAACATACTTTTTTTTCGGAGAAAATTTCCTCCCAGTGAATTATTCTCCAATTTTCCACCCTACTTTTATGGCTGTGCTGCTTTCGTCGACATTTTGCCAGGAGATGGAAAATTCAATTGTAAGTTTGGATTATTGGTGGAAATAAAATTAAATGTGAATGCGAGAGACATTTCCGTGTGGTGCTGATAGTTATTCCAATGAGTGTACTTTTGCCAGCGACTCTTGTGCTCACAAACAACTTAAATATGAAATATTCTCGAGTCAGCAATTTGGGGTGAAATTTTCTCATGACCGTTTCCTTCTCCAAAGACACCGTCCTGAGAGAGTTGCGGAGTTTCCCAACAATGGACCAAAAGGGGCTCACAATGCGCGGAAGAAACATTCAACAGACTCCATATGCGGAAATTACTCAGTTTTTATTAGAAATTCTGGTGGTTTTTCCATGTAATTGCAAGAGTAACACAAATGGGCGTGGCATTTGAGAGGGCGGGGCTTCTCCGGTGTCTATTATTGAAGGCAAACATTGTTCTGACAGTAAAAAAATCGTTTTGGTCAGTAAAAAAATTAGTTTGGTCAGAAAATAATTCGGCTGCATTTAATTGGTCAATAAAAATGCAGTTTGATCAGTAAAAAAATTAATTTGGTGTGTAAAAAATCATTTTGGTCACTAAAACAATTAAAAAATCATTTGAAAGGTCATTAAATTCAAATTATATTTTGTCTAAACGTAATTGTCTCGAAAATTGAAAGAAATATCGAATTTTCAGCACCAAATTTGTGCTCTTTTTAACGCTTTAATGATCGTCCTTGGGCTTGAAACCTCCCTTAAGAACTACTTTTATTGTATAGCATGTATATTTGCGCTATCCTGGAATGTCCTGAACTCACCAGTTGTTCTCCCCTCGATTGGGACACTCAAAAATTCCTGCTTCCCCAATTCCTCCCGCAATACATGCCGCAGCCGCCCATTAGGCGGAAATTTCTTGTCGATTGTGAGGGCATTTTAAGTAGATTTATGATGAGGCGCGCCTGTGGGAGTGAAAATGGCAAACAGTGTGCGTGGAAATTGCTGGGAGTTTACAATTGAATTTGGACTGCAAAGTATGTTTCAGTTGCTAAACATGCACTTGCCGGACACTTTCAACAGAGATTGCTCAGGAGTTTGGGAATATATATTAAATTGCACCTCATTTGCAGCCACTTAGATTCTCCGTCCGATGGAATTTGCCATTCTCCGCTGGGAGAAATGACGAGTGGAGGGGTTTTTTGGGGGAGGGTGGGAAAAGCTGCGACGGTCCGGGGGAAAAATCAATGACCTCGTTGGACAATTGCCAATGCTGATACAGTCCGTGGTGTGGAGGAATCCCAGCAGAGAGCCTCAATAGCACCAATTTCTGGAACATGGGCGTCTTGCAGGGAAAGCTGCTCATAAACATTTTCCGCATCACTTCGGATGGTCCTCGATGGGTGTTTTGCTTGCAATCATGGGCGCGAAAATGACTTTTTTTTCCCCTCCTTCGCATGGCGGCAGAATCTATAATTGTGAAGCACAAAGTGAGACAATGTAAAATTGCGAGAGCGAAGTTGTGTGCAATGAATTGCGAAATAATTTCAACTGAATGTGGCATTTTCTCTGGTTCAATTTCCCCAAAAGCGGGGAATAGAGGAAGCGTGGCAGAATAAATGGTTTCTGGGGAGAAGTACTCTTGGAAATTGCAGTCGGAGTATTTCCAAACATACCTAAATTACTAATATTCCCAGCCGCAGAGGAGATTTTCCCGTGAATTATGCATTGAACCACGAAAATTGCCAAGCTTTTGAGCAAGAAGGAGCACAAGGAGTTGCACACACTCCTCCGAGTCATAATGTAAATTGGGGGAAGAATGCAAGCGTTAACACAGCAAAGAGATCATTTTCAAAAGTTTAACCTACTTTTTGGTGTGGAGAAAAGTGAAATTTTTCCCAGGTATAAATTTCACCCCTCACTTTATCTCTGCCTTCTTTTCGCCAGGTGAATTTTGCCAAGAAACATCATGACTTTCTTCACAATGTCGTTTTACTTTTCTGGGGCGGAAATTTTGCATTCTGACGGCAAACTTTATATCAACGTTTTAATCACAAAAAGCATACATTTCTACTCACAACAATAAATCATTCACCGCTCACGATTTCTCATCTCCACCAACGCTTTTCAAGTGACTCAACTCAACCTGCACGGAATTGTTTATTGTTATATTGCAATTGCAAAGTGCCGTGCGATAAGGCTTAAGCCTAATCGCTGCCATTTTCCACTTTCCATTGAAGTTTCATACAGAAAAATGCAGCAAAGTCGCGAATGAATTATGAGTAATTTAAATTGTTTTTCCTCATTTTTTATCTCTTTCTCTCTGTCTGTTATCCGATATGACTGAGAACAAAAAAAAACAGCCAGAAGGCAAATTTTGTACACTCAAAACCACGGGAAATAAAGGCTCAAAAGAAAAACTTTCCTGCAACCATAGGAGAACCATAAATAATCGCGGAGCTTTTTCTCACAGACGCGCAAAACATACACACAATTTTCCCATTCATACTTCTTGACAAGGGCCAAATAGTGTGCCCTAAATCTGTACACCACTTCTTGACACTTTCTTAGCCTTTGTGCGGAATCTTCAACACTTCGGGCACTTTTGAACGCCTTTGAAAAGCATTTTAAAGACTCTTTTGACTGTTTTTTACACTCATTTCAAACTTTTATCATAATTTAATCCAGATTTTACAATCTTAAGTGGTTAAAAGCTTTGTAAATACTTAGATTTCAGATTGTAAGAACTGATTTGAAGCGTTCCAAAATTTGTTCATGGAAAATTTCCGTCTTTAGTTTCTAGTTTTGTCTTCGAAAAGTGTTTAAAAGAATTCTAACCAAATTGTGAGGTTAGAAATTCGGCTCTCATCAATTTTTTCTAAAAATTAGGAAAATATGGCGAATCTAACAATGTTTCTACTAAAAATTGAGGATGATTTAACATTTTAACACTAAGCAAAGAGATATTTTTCTAAATTGAAATGATATTTTTGAGGTTATGATTGACTTTTAGGCTTTTGCTCAATTAATATGAAGTTATTTAATTTTTTTTAATGCTCAGCTCTGCTAAAAAGAGAAATATTTCAAGATTAGGCACAATTTTGGAGATTTCGAGAGTTTTTTGATCACCAGAATCAGTTTTACATCAATCAAATAACCTAGAAAAGCAATAAAAATGATTTTTATAGGCAAAATAATTGAGAAAATGCCTAAATTTGTTGAAACGGAAGCTTTTGCTAAGCAAATTCACTTTCTGACTCTTCCTCAAGAAGCTGTACACCACTTCCGACCATAATATTCGTCCCTTGCGTGTTGATGGCTCGGAACAAAACACACACAGAAACTTGTGAAGTTATCAAATGAGGAAAAATGTGCAGAGATTTGTGTGGAGAGACGATTTTTTCGATTTCTCGCGAAGTTGAATGAATCGCGTAAGCAAGTTTGGGTTAATAATTGTGAAAATACGACGCAAAAATAACACTGGCGCAGCGCGAGAACTTGTCGGTCTGAGTCGCATGGCAATGAAAGATTTTTCTAAAAATATATCACATTATCAGGCGGCGCATATGTACATATCCACAAGTGTAAATACAGTGATTGGGCTTATCACACAACCACACACCAGCGACTTCCGACTTTTGCGCCACACACAGAGCGAGATCAATCCCCGGAGTTGAGCCTCTTCAGTGTGACACTGGCTTTGGCAATTATTGCGGCGTGTGTGGACGAGGGCAGCTGAAGAGCCACCCGAAATGTCCGCTCTTGGCGGCAATTTGCTGGCCCAATCGCTCACCATCGCCCTGCTCCTCATCACCGCGGGTAATATTTTTCTCCCAACACTATCAAGTCTCAAGTGATTTCGAGTGTGAAGTGATAATCAATGCCGCAGCGGCGGGAATACAGTGATTTGTGACGCGAGAGGTGCAGAAATATCTGTGCTTTGACTGCTTGTTACACTCGCAAAAACCACGTCAAGGGGTCAAACATTCAACTGACATATTCTGTAACTGAAGTTAACAGAATACTTCACAGCAAAAACAGCAAATATTCCGCATGACTAATTCCCTTTGTCACTATCTGGGCATATTTCTCTTGCATGTATTTTTTTTCGGTGGGGAATAAATAACACTGAATATCAACAACAAAAAAACCACGTGGAATTTCCGTATCGTCCATCGTGACCGATAAACGAATGTGTTTGTGTCGTCCAGTCCAAGGGGGAGATAATACTCCTTAAATCCCAACCTACAGAATCTTAAGACACCTCAGATTCTTCGGAACATCTTCGAAGGCACTTTTCGGTGGTTTTTAGACTCCTTCAACTGTTATCATAATTTAATTTAGGTCATTTTAAGTCAAATCTTAGATTTTAAACCTAAAGAACTGATTTTAATGCCTCAGGATTTGTTCAAAAATAATTTTTGACTTGATTTTTCAGTTTTAAAAAATTCTAAACAAATTGTGAGGTTATGAAACCGTCTTAAAAAACCTTCTTGGACTAAATTTAATACCTTTAAACCTGAAAATGAGTAAATATGGCGAATTTCATGGCTTTTTTCTAGGTAATTAGCTGAAATTCGGTTCTTTACAGCACAAACCGTGGAAAAAATTGAGGTTTTTTGAGGTTATGTTTGACTTTAAAGCATTTTTTTAACCAATATGACGTTTTTCCGAACAAAAATCCTCGTCTCGGTTGAGAAAAAGAGAAATATTCTTAGCTTAAGCATAAATTTGATCATTTTGAAGGCTATTTAAATGCCAGAATCTATCTAAAAAGACTTAATCTAATCACATAACCTAAAAAAGACCAATCAAATTGATTTTTCTAGGCAAATTTGTTGAAATAGAAGCTTTTGCAGTGCAAATATTCTATTTATTTCGCCACTTTCGTGCAGTTGTACACCACTTCTGACCGTGATATCTCTCCCTTGGGCAGGTCCAGAGACGGGCGACGCTCTCAAGTGCTACTCCTGCTCGTCGCTCAACAATGCAGCGTGCGCAGACCCGCCAAACGTGACCCAGTTGGAGGTGACAGACTGCGGCGCGCTGGTGAAGAACGCCGTGTGCTCCAAGAGGATCACCAAGACGCCGCAATTGACATTCACGGGGCGCCGATGTCTCTCGCAGGACATCTGTGACTACGCCCTGGAGCTCTCCGGCCAGGTGACGGAGGAGTGCGCCACTTGCACCACGGATCTGTGCAACGCCTCGCCTCAGCTGACCACTTGCACTGTGATTCTCCTCGGGAGCGCCCTCAGCCGCCTCCGGGCGATGCTCCCCGGGGTGTGATGCTGCCGTTTTGTACCTCTAGAGATGTGAATTAGTAAAGCGGCCAATTCGCCTGCAATCAATTTCAATTTTTCCAACCCCCTTTCCAGCATGTGGAGCTCGATTAGGGTGTCCTGGTGCCGGCAATTAGAGGCGACACACGGAAGCTCACGCAATTCCCCCTCGTCTTGTACTTGCTCTCAAATTACCGTCAAATAAATCCCCACTCCGATCGTAAATTACATGTACATTTGCTGAGAGATTTCCCGGCCAATTCTACACATGGCTGAAAATTGCGGAAGGTCAAGTGCTTCAAGAGGGACTCGAAACACTCCCAGCAACCACAAAATGCTGAGATCTCAACCTTTTTCGCTTTCTTTCGCTAACATCTTAGCCATTCGATGGATGCATTGGAAGCGAATGAAGGAAAGTCCATAAAAGTTGGACTTCTTGCTTCCTTACTAAGCTTTTATCAGAGGAAAACGATAAATTGAGCAAAATATACTTGATTGTTCTTAAATGATCAACTTAGCCTCCTATTCTACACTTCATAAAAAATCACTGAACCGGATTTTGGCCGCAGTTGTGCGTAAGAAAATAAAGAAATTGTGCAAAAGCGTTGTGCAAAGTCCAAATCAAGGCGCTGAAGGATGTAAAAGTCTTCTAGACGTTCGAAACTTATGATTTAATGTGATTATCCCAGTCAGTATTATGCTTACAACGTGGATTTAGAGCAAAATAAGCAGTGTCCTAACTTAATTTTCGCTGCTGTATGCGCAGCTTTCTCTGCATTTTGCAATATCTCAGCACAGAATTTAGATATCGTCATGATCTCAACGCCATTTGAAAGATCGTTAAATTCTAATCATTCTTTATCTTAAGGTAATTGTCTTAAAAATTGAGAGAAATATCGAATTTTAAGCACCAAAAGGAAAAATGGCCTAAATTTCGCTAATATATAGCGAAAAACAACAGGAGAATTCAGAATATTGCTAAGAACATTGAGGGAAATTGCTGTGTTCACTGCTGAAATTTTAGTTCAAATATCTTAACACTTATCATCTAAATTAACTGCTTTTCCTTGGGTTTTGTGGCTCGCTGAATCAGTTCAATAGAAACCCTAAAAATAAATTCGACGAGAAAATCCATTTAATGCCAAAAACACGAATTTCATTTCATCCACCAAAAATGTTTCACACACGACATATTATCAACATCGCATCGACATAAAAGTGCTAAAGAGCATTAAATAAAAATGCGGAGTGACTGCCAGACAACAACAAAAAAAAACACGCAAATTGTACTATTTTTATTATTTGAACACAGAGTATAAGTGAATATTTTGCCGTGGAAAAATGTGTGAACAAACATCAAACATTTTGCCTCGAGGGGGGAAAAAATTCAATTAATTGCTTCATTTTTATGCTGCCCATAAAAGCTCAGCTTCATGATTCATATTTTTTTGAACTGTTCAACAACATTCTGTCAGGTTGTTATAGTTATATTTTAATTCAATTTTATATAAAGCCTTTTTTTCCAGCATCATGCAAATAAGGTGTATAAACACTGGGAAAGTTGCTATTTTCACGCTGTAAATAACACTTTTGCCTCTTTCTGAAGTGGAAAAGCTGCGACTAAGAGAGGGAAATTAGAATGATATTCCGTGGCGAGAGAGAGAGGTGTAATCGTAAAATTAAATTATTTTCTCTGCTGCTGGGGAAGAAGGAAGAGAAGAATATGCAAATGTGGATCCTTTTTTTGGTGGGATTTCGTGGCGTTGCGTTCGAGAAGTCATGACCAAGAGCAATTTTGTCTGCTATCATCGCATATATTCATAGCCCGAGCAGCCCTCAGAGGTCCACTCTGGTTATGAGAATCGAGAGAGAGAGAGAGTCACTAAAAACTTATCATTATTTTCCACAAGTGTCTCCTTTTCCCCACACTTTTCCTTCCCAAAGACACACTTCAAAAGCCATCAAGTTAGAGTGAAAATTTATGAAATTACATTATGTCCACTGTAATCTATATTTATTTTCCTCTCACGATGTCTTCACTGCTCATAAAAGTTGTCTTCCAAAAACCACATTGAGAGCTTCGCTTTTCTTTGGCTTTTCACCCGCACTTTGAGCAATTTTCGCGCTCGCTGAATGATGACAAACACGAAATTTATGACTTTCATTTTCACTATTTCCGCACCGTTGAAGAGAAGATGTTGAATAGAGAAACTTTATGATGAAATTTCTTGGTGGCGCGGACACAAAAACACAAACACTCTTTCTCACCAATTGAATATTAAACAGTGGCTTTTTATCCACGGTGAACTTGCAGGGGAGGAAAATTGAAATTTTCAATCGTTGGCGCCATTTCTTGGCCTCTTCACTCGGGGCAAAGTCAATTTCCCCGAGTGAATCATATTTAATGATCCTTGGGTGATGATGGAAGACCTTCTCAGTCTCCCATGGCTAAATACTCTCAGCCAAACTCCACCAATCCCCCTCTGCCCTCCACCCCTCGGGCGTGAACCCCTTTTCGGAACATCCGTAATTCGATATTGTGGGCGAGGAAAACAGTGGAAGAGAGGCTGAAAGAAAATCTCATATTTCCCATTGAGGCAATGAGGCAAAATTGATGAAATTATTTCTCTATATTGATGATGAGAAGTTGTGATTAAAACTTCATCAATTACCGTATCCCCGGCAAACCCATCAATTGCCCAGCGGGGATGGAGTTTCTCCCCCGAGGGGGAAAAAGAGGAAAAGCCCGAGCGCAGGAAGTTAAAGGGCACACCAGAGAGAGAGAGAGAAAAGTTTTCCAATAACATTCCTTTCTCTAATACAATAACAAATTATTTTAATAATTACGTACATTTTCTTTCTTCTCTCCCCAGACTTTCTTGGGTATTTTGGAAAATGCTTCTCCCGGGGAAAAACTTTCTATTGTCTCGCCAAATTGCTTTCCGTCACCGATAATTTACGGCAGAAGTGGTTGCTGGATGGCAGGAATTGAGATATTATTAGTGGAAGAGGTTTTGGATCTTTCAAACTCCGCTTTTATTTCAAGCGGAAAGTCAATCACATATTTAAGTATTTATTTTTACTATGAAATTATCAGAATTTGAATAAGAGTAATAAAAAAAATTCCCTTTATTATTCTGAGTCACACATTTAAGGCCTTAAATTTTGCCTCTTGTGTTATTTGCTGTTCTGGCTCACATGTGTTAAATCATTAACACAATCTCAAGAGGTTATTTTATTGAGTGACAGATCAGAAACTGCAGAATAACTTGCAAAAATTGATGAATCTGCAATTGTGGCTCTCATTTTCAAGCAAGAACATGAAAAATATTTGCAGTAAATTCTTTTTATCACGGATTTTGCTAATTATAGACTTAAATTTTAATAATTCCGACAAATTCAAATCGCTAAAACACTGTTTTAGCGAGAATAACAAGAGCTTTTTTTCTTTATTCACTTCGAATATTAAACTTTTACATATATTTAAAGTTTCACACTCCTGTGTTTGACTGGGAATTGATCAATTAATTATAAATCTAAATATTTACTGAATATTTAAGCGAGAGACACACAAAATTTTGCCTCAAGCTGCATTCGAACGTCTAAAATTAGGAGGAAATACAATCGAAATTCCAACATGCCTTTGAAGATTAAATTGCTGCCCTCTGGCGGCAATATGTGGCGAAAATAATCAAGTATTTTTTGGTATAATCGAAAAGATTGAAAAGTCTGAAATCGCGAGTAATTTTCGCATCACTTTCCGCAAGATTTCCGGCAACGCGTGAAGCCTGAGGAAAAATCCTATAAATTACAAGTCATTCTCTACTTAATTTTCACCATTTTCACATATTTGACGACAACATATTGCCATTAAATTAACAGCCGCTAAATTTACCTCTTCTCGCGAACATTTGGTGGAAAAAATTTGTCCCCTGGAAGCCAAAATGTTATGAGCAAATCTCCTTAGCGCGATGTCTTCCTCAATTTATGTCGCCGCATCCTTAAGAGGGAGGACTTTTACGGTGACGCCAAAGGGCGATTATTAAATTTTCACCTGACTTTGTGGAGGTGTATTAAAACAGCCCTCAAAGGGTCATCAAAATGCCTCATTGAGTGCAGTGAAAGGCTCTTGAGAATTCAATTATAATTGCGTGTTTCTCATGGAAATTGAAATTATTGATTGCTGTAAGCGCTGTGAATATAATATTTTCATTTTAATATCGTTTTGCCAACCTGGAATAATGCTTATACGCTTAATTGGATGTCAACTCCCCTGTGGGAATTCTCATTGTCGATGATGATGATGTTTTATCCCCATTGTTGGGCCACAAAAAGCGCGAATTCGCCAGTAAATGAAGGCACGAATTTATTATAGAGATTTTGCGAGGGTGTTTTGTTGATGTGCTGTTAACAGAGAAACCACAAGAGAGCTGCAATTTTTGCTAAATGATGATTGGTTATAAAACTTTTCTCATACTCCATCGTCTTTTGCAAAATAATGTACTAGAACACTGTGTTCGTGTGCCAGAAGGAAAGTTTCCCTTTTTTTTTCTTCCTTCCTCACAATTCCGCATCTCAAGAGGAAGTTTTGTGTGATGATGAAAGAATTTAATCGATACATTGATCTGTGCTTTTTTTTTGCTCCACACTCAATCGAGGAAAGTTGTGCATTATATAAAAATTTGCAAAACCCCAATTTACCCTCGATTATTTACCACAATCGATAATTTCCTCTTTTTCCATGTTTTCCGCTCATTGAATTGGATGGAGAGGGAAAAAATCGCACAATATACAAAATGCACATAATTGATTGACTGAGATGCAAATTTTTTGGTTCATTTTTTTTTTGGGAAATTGCCGATGATTCTCTGTCTTTTTCCGCCAATATCGCCCATCAAATATTATTGACATGCAGTAAACAAGTGGATTTAAAATGCAATCATAGAGTTGAAGTTTGTAATTATTCGCCAAATTATGGCGCTCTGTGGGTGGCAAATATATGTATAATTGATGGGCGGTTGATTAAAAGTGAATTATCACATATGGAAATTTAGCTCTCTTGCATGCTA